CTGCCGCAGCAGCAGCGTAGCAGATCTATTCCGCCAAGACCAAATACATTAACATTGTCATGTAGAGGTCTGCATTCCCGTGGGAACCGTGGGACCCGACCAGATTTTTTGCGCCGCGGGATTAAATTCCCGAATAAAACGCGGTAGCGGTCGGTAACTCTGGTGTAATTTGAACGGGAGCGGGCGGTCTAATAATATCCCGTTCCCGACGTCCATTTAGAACAGCATATCTGCGCTTTATTCTTATTGACCACCGGAACAGCTTGCGCTCAGGACTGTTATGCACGCGCTGCACGCATGCGTTAAACGTCAAAACGTTAAGCGTGGTCTGTGCGCAGCATGTGCATAACGATGCTCAGAGCAGGCTGTGCCTGTGGTAAATATACGGCCCTCAGACAGAACAGGCAGGTTGTCGATGAGTGACAGAGCAGAATAAGGATGGAGCAAAGTGTGGATGCGCTGTCCTTGAAGAACGTTCAACTTGGTTTTGTTTATATTTCGCTTAGCCTATAATTTTAAATAAAAGATGTCGTATTTATTTATTTTATTTTTCTCTGCTACACTTTTCCTACTGTGTTAACAGAAAATGTCAAACGAATTTAGTATTTTGACAAGACGAATAAAAATAGGCTATTTTTGTACAACCTACATTTTAAATTTTTTTTTTTCTGAGACACTTTTTCCCTATTGTGTTGTCAATGTTAAACGAATTGTATCCTGACAAGACGAATAAAAATAAATACAATTTTTGTACAATTTTATTTTCTCTGACACTTTTTTCCTACTGTGTTGCATAAAATATGAGATTCTGGAAACCAGATCTAAATTTAGCGGGAAAGGTCGGGTCGGGAAGAAAATTATTCTAAGGGTGAACAAAGAGTGAATATATAGCAGGAGCGGGTGGGTGCGGAATAGAACCTTGCGGGAGCGGGACTAAAAAAACAGTCCTGAGCAGACCTCTACCACACAACTCGCCCAAACTGCCATCTGCTATACATAATTATATATGCATAATTTGGTGCATACCATTAATATATAAATAAATAACTGATTCCTTTTTTTATAAATTTTTTTTTCAGCATCATAACGCCAGTCTTCAGTGTCACATTCTTCAGAACTCATTCTAATATGCTGATTTGCTGCTCAAGAAACATCTCTTGCATTATTATTTGTTAAACAATGGTTGTTCTGCTTATTTGTTTTTTAAGATGAACAGAAATGTTACTTAACATTATGAATGTATTTATTGTCATTTTTAACAATTGAAAGCATCCTTGCTGAATTAAAAAAAAAAACTAGAAAAATCTTACTGACCCCAAAATTCTTAAGGTAGTGTTATATATTCTTTTATATTTCAACGAAGAGGAAGAATTATATGAGAAAATAAAAATGCCATTTTCTGCTTATTAACAGTCACTGAATTTTTCTCATGATACTTCTTACAACTCTATCTGAACACCTGCATAATTCTGTACCCAAATATCAAATATTCTAAATAAATGGTATGTAGCTCTCTGTTTGCACGTTACTTTAGTATCTTAGTAGTAATTTATTTTTTCTTAATATTTTGAATTAGATTTCATTTGGATATTTTTTGTTTTCATTTTCACTTTAGTTTTCATAATAATTTTGTGTGTTGTGATAAATATATCTATAAAGTTTTGAAGTTTTAGTATTTAGTCTGTTAATTATTTTTGGTTATTTTGTACTGTAGCTTTAAACAGAAATGAGAAATACTGCCTTGGAAACTAGCTGAAATATTTAATAATTAATGCAAATATATATATTTATATTTAATAATATATTTATATTTTATGTTTATATAAAATATAAATATATTATAATATATTAAAATATTTTTATACTTTATATAAAAAGTATAATTTTTATACGTTATACTGATTGTATATATACACACACAATCAGTATAAAAAGTCTTTGTTTTTTATTTTGTTATATATTTTATATATTTATTTTATTTCACTTCATGTTTATTATTGAAATTGTTTTGAAATGAACATGTTTTTATAGTTTTAGTTTTCATTTACAATAATAACCCTGGTTTGCACTGTAGATTTGGCAAAAGTGTCACTTTGTTGCAACAATTTCATTTGTCACTGCTAACCAATACCAGTCATTAACTAACACTTCAGTGTCACAGCGACAGTCTGTCGTGAATCTTCATTTCAAGCAGGAGAGCCACAGGGTTAGGATTATTGTTTGTTTGCATTAAACGTTCTTGTCTGCTTAGAAAATGGCAGCATTTGTACCTAATGATGGGAACGTTCTTATTTGCAGATTAATTTTGAAAGCAGCAATGATATGAATGCAAATATGGATCTGGTCCAGGCCTCATCAAAGGTGTGGCCACCCCCATATGCCACAATGATAATGTCTTTTTCCAGACTGAGATTGCTGACACTTTAAGTAAACATGTTGCTGTATGAATAACCGTAACAGTTATGATTGGCATTTTGGTAAGCAATCCGTCTATGTACACAGAAAAAAAAATCTAGATATACCTGTTTGGATCAGTTTCAGGGGCCCATTTTATACTATTTTATAAAGGAAAGGAGACTTAATGTTATGTGCTTATTAATATTTTGAACTACATTAAAATGTGTATATTTTCTGGTTGCCTTTTAATTAAACTTTTAGTAATTTTGTTGTGTGTTCTTGTCATTTTTATTATTTTGTCTATATACTTTAGTTTTCTATTAAGTTTTTAGTTTTAGTTTATTTAGTTGTTTTAGTACTTCAAGTTAAAGTAAACAAAAATGAGAAATGTTGCCTTGGCAACGCGCTGAAATGTTTATTAATAATAATAATAATTATTATTATTTTAATATGCATTATTTCAGTTAATGTTTATTTTATTTCAAGCAATGAAAGTGTTTTTAGTTAGTTTAGTTAACAATAATAACCCTGATTTACACTGTTGCAACATGTACACTGTATCCACATGACTCCAATCCATCAATTAACATCTTGTGAAAAGCTGTGAAAGCTGTGAAAAGCTGTGTTTTTGTAATAAACACAAGTACTCTATTAATATAATTGCTTTCTTCAGTGAAGTCGTCTTGTCTGAATCAAGAGAGAAATACTGTTTACACAGATCAAGCGCCGTTTACAAGTGAAAACAGTCTAAAACAGTTCTAAACTACTGTAGACTTATCAGTGGATGTAAATGTGAGAGGACAACAGGGGGCGAACTTATTCACTGGAGGAAGTGTTATTATGGATTATACATTCATATTTTGACCAGAAGCGACCGTTTAAAGTTAAAGCGCCCTAATGATAGATTTGTTTCTTACAAACATGCAGCTTTTTGCTTCACAAGATGTTGATTACTGGACTGGAGTTGTGTGATTGCTTGTGAATTATTGTGATGTTTTTATCAGCTTTTGGACTCTCATTCTGACGGCACCCATTCACTGCAGAGGATCCATTGGTGAGCAAATTATGTAATGCTACATTTCTCTAAATCTGTTCTGATGAAGAAACTCATCTTCATCTTGGATGGCATGAAGGTGAGTAAATTTTCAGCAAATTTTCACTTTTGAGTGAACTATTCCTTTAAAGTAACTTTTTTATAGCTCTATATATATAGCACTAAATAACAACGGCAGAAATCTGGTATGTTTTTGCATGTGCTGCAGCTTATCCAATATTTTTGCCAGAAGAATGTACAATTTGAAGAGAGATAAGTATACTGAAGTTACAGTTAAAATATTTGCACTCGGTGTATCTGATAAACATGTCTCCTGTCTGTCTGTCTGTTTCTAATCGATGGCTCATCTATCCTGTAATCCTTTTCTGTGCATGCACAAGTTTACTTTTTCTGTATGCTTGACGAGATAATTTGAGGTTGAGGTATTTATACTAGGTCGAGTTTGGTGTAACATTTCAGTGTAATATTTCCTTCCAGCAAAAACACCTTTGAGATTTACTAATATAATTATCATGACGAGATTTTCTCTAAATCTCTAAATTGGGGTAATTATTTATAGCAGTTATATCGCATTGTAGGATTTCCATCCGAGACTTATAAAAAGCAACCATCCTGGGGTGAAAAGCACAAATGTGCGATTAGCCCTAAATTACCCTTCCACTCCTTGCGGTTTTATAATGAATGCCAATCAAAACCAGAAGTATTGCATTCGATCCATTCTAAGGGTGAGGGTGAACGATCCGTTCCATTAAACAGTTAACAGTTCACACCTACCAATTATGTTCTTCACTTTTCATCGGCTATCTTATCATTCCTCATGTTGTTGGGTGTTTCCGCGATGGTTTCGCAGTTCTCCATAATTTTATGTTTAAAGTCTTTATTCACTTGATCAGGGTCAGAATTACACTTTAAGTTCTGCTCCACATCTGTGTCACTGGCTAGGAGTGATATAGGCTCTTCTCCCACTTCAAGATCACTTATGTCATTAGTCGGATCCAGCTGATGAGTAATACTGCATTTTAGGTCCATTGCAGTATCTGCAAAGTTACAAAACAAAAATTTCACTCAACTGCAATCACATGGCTAAACTGAAAAATAATGCATTGGCCGAACATGTTTCTTATCCACTGTGACATTATATTTTATGTTTATTTAAATATAAGTATAAAGAAAACTCTCAGCTTTCTAATAATACAATTATCTTATTATATTATCTTAACTACTAATTAACTAATTAATTACTAATTAACATTAAAATATTGCATGTCAAAACATTTTTATTGAAAAAACTGCAATTTTAGACATTATTTCACAGAACATCTTGGTTATGTATGTAACCCTCGTTCCCTGAAGGAGGGAACGGAGACGTTATGTCGACACTGATGTTAGGGGTCTCACTTGGGAGCCCCAGTCACCTCTGAGCATTACAAGAAATAACCAATGACGATTGGCGAGTGGAATTTGAATGCCAAGCCACTCCCCATACATACAGGTATATAAAATGGTGGCGTGCATCCACTTATTGTTGTGGCATGAGGGATGTAACATCTCCGTTCCCTCCTTCAGGGAACGAGGGTTACATACATAACTGAGACGTTCCCTATCAGTCAGTCACGTTCAACGTTACGTCGACACAGACGTTAGGGGTCCCTATGGAAAGCGCCACAACCAGAACTGTGTTACGAAAATTGAAGGTGCAGGTGCTGACAAGTAATCGTGTCAGGACAGATGCAGGGAGTGGTGGGAACTTTGGGCACATAACCGGGCCGAGGCCTCAAGATAACGTGAAAATCAGCCAGCCCAAACTCAAGGCATGATTCATTGATCGAAAATGCCTGCAGGTCCCCAACCCTCTTGATGGATGTGAGCGCGACCAGGGGCGCTGTCTTAAATGACATGAACTTGAGCTTAACTGAGTCAAGCGGCTCAAAGGGGGCTCCCCGTAGTCCTGCCAGGACCACAGAGAGATCCCAAGAGGGAACGAGGCGCGATCTTGCACAGACCAGGCTCACTGGGGAAAAGGCATACTTGCATTCACCCTGGGGCCAGCTGTGTGCCAGAGCATCCGTGCCGAGGGGTGCCGAGGTGAGGGCGTAGAACAGCTGGCAGTGGGAAGATTCCTGAGAAGCAAACAGGTCCACCTGGGCTTCCCCGAAATGACTCCACCTGGGGATGGAGTCTCCATTCTCCTGGAAGAGTAAGCTGTCGTGAGAGTGCATTGGCTGCACGATTGAGCTCCCCCGGAACATGAACGACACGCAGTGATTTGCGATGTGAGTGTACCCCACCCTGATGGTTGATGTACACAACCATCGCAGTGTTGTCCATGTGGACAAGCACATGCTTGCCTTGCAGCAATGGACAAAACCGGTGAAGAGCAAGCAGTATTGCCAGCAACTCGAGGCAATTGATGTGCCACTGCAGTCGTGGTTCCGTCCAGGAACCCTGTACTGGAGGCATCTGTTGTGACAACAACATGCCTCGACACTTGCTCCAGGGGCACACCTGCCCGTAGAAAAGCAAGGTCCGACCATGGGCTGAAAAGGCAGCGACAAACTGGGGTAACACTGATCCGGTGAGTGCCACGGCGCCATGCCCTTCTCGGGACTCAGCTGTGCAGCCAGTGCTGAAGCGGTCTCATATGTAACAACCCGAGTGGCTTAACTGCGGCTGCGGATGCCATATGCTCTAGGAGCCTCTGAAATGGTTTTGGAGGAACCGCTGTTTTCCCCCTGAACAAATTCAGGCAGTTCAGCACTGACTGGGCATGCTCGTTCGTGAGACGTGCTGTCATGTTGACCAAGTCCAGCTCCATACCGAGAAAAGAGATGCTTTGCACTGGGGAGAGCTTGCTCTTTTCCCAGTTGACCCGAAGCCCCAGGTGGCTGAGATGCTGAAGCACCATATGCCTGTGCTCGCACAACACATCTCGCGAGTGAGCTAATGTAAGCCAGTCGTCGAGATAGTTGAGGACTCGGATGCTCTTCTCCTGAAGTGAGGACAGGGCACTTTCCGCGACTTTTGTAAAGACATGGGGAGACAGGGACAGCCCGACTGGGCAGATACACCCAACCCTCGAAAGCAAACCGAAGAAACGGTCTGTGTCGAGGTAGAATCGAGACGAGAAAGTATGCATCCTTCAGGTTGATCGCTGCAAACCAATCCTGGTGTCGAACGCATGAAAGAATGCACTTCTGCGTCAACATCTTGAACGGAAGCCTGTGAAGAGACCGATTCAAGACCCGCAGATCCAGGATAGGTCGTAACCCACCGCTCTTCGTGGGTACGATGAAATAAGGACTGTAAAATCCCAATTTCATCTCGGCTGGAGGGACAGGCTCTATTGCATACTTTGTTGAATCGTCTGAATGAGCCAGGCCCCCAAGCTCTGAGAAAGTGTCACCAAAGGTACGATTACTGACGTACTCACAGTGAGGCAGCAGAGAGGAGGAAGAGAGTCCAACCTGGGAAGCGTGGCATCCTGAAGTACAGGCAGAGGAGAAGCTCTTACCTGACTCCCCGGATCCCGCGGAGAGATTGCAAGGGAAACGTGAGGAAGCGGAGCGTCCTGCAACCTCTTGAGTGGTGATATACTGTGTCGAGACTGGCAGTGAGGAAGCAGAGCGTCGCTCACAGACAAATCCCGACACATCAGACCCAGAGATGAAGGAAGTTGCTCTTTTATGGAGAATGTGGGTACCGCTGACTGAGGGGTCAGTGGCGGAACAGGCATCAACGGTGGTGAACGCCCCCGGCCCTCCCCCGGGGTGAGGGCCCAGATGTTAATGGCCCCAAAAGAGCAATCCCTTCCATCTCCGGGTCGCCCGTCTCAGGGATGCTTTGCTGTCTTCTGGGAAGTCTCCTCCTTGGATTCTGGTCAGGGCAGAGCAGATATTAACTCCGTAAGGGGGCACCCTCGGCGACGGGCAGATGAAGACCCAGACCTCAGCGGTTTGGCAACTGGAGTGTCCCGCCTAGGCAAGATATGCTTAATGGCCTCTGTCTGCTTCCGGACTGCCGAGAACTGCTGGGCAAAGTCACTTAAGAGGTGTACTTGCCGGATGGCCATGGTGTGCATGGCGGAGGCCCAGACATGTGAGACAGCGATCGTGTCCATCATCAGAGGTAAGGAAACTACCACACCCGGAAGCACACGGTCGGAAAGACATCTTGAAAGACACTCTCGACTGTGCAAGCTGTAGGAAATTGCTCTTTTAGATTGGAGCACCCAGTGGTGGATCACAGCACTTACCTGTGCTAAGGAGAGGCGAGCACACAGCTGAATGCACTGTTTTCTGACACAGCCGAGAATCTTCTGCAGTGAAGGCTTCTTCGTTTCTGGAAGATTTCTCTTAGATGAGAGAGAAAGCGCTCACGAAGCGATCGGCTCTGAAGCAAAAATCTGAATGAGTGGATGCACGCCGCCATCTTATATACCCGTATGTATGGGGAGTGACTTGGCATGCAAAAATTGGCCATTTCTTGTAATGTTCAGAAGTGATAGGGGCTCCCAAGTGAGACCCCTAACGTCAGTGTTGACGTAATGACGAACGTGACTAACTGATAGGGAACTAGTATTTATTCAAACATATAATTTAGATGTTTGGGGTCAGTAAGATTTTTTTATGTTATTGAAAGGAGTCTCTTAAGCAGTGCTTAATTTGAGCCGGATCCTGCCGGATCCTGTTCCGGAAAATGTCAGATTTTGAATTTTTGCATTCTGGTAATTGTTTTTAAGGATCCAGCATTAGATCGTGACGTGCGTGCATATGAGAGCGAGCGCAGGTTTATGTATTTGGCGGTTATGTATTGGTCCTCAACATATTTTTGACCGTGACCAGTCAGCTTTCTTAAGTTTAACTCGCTCTCATTGATTGGTGCTTATTGCTTATTGTTTTATTAGCAGCAGAACGTTTGGAGAGAGTGTAATAATACCAGAAATACCAGAAATAATACCAAATAAAGTGAAATATTATAATGTATAAACATTATAAACGCTATAAACATAGCTATACGTTAGTATAGCTCACTCCAAAACAAATCATATAAATGTAACGGTATTCAGAACAGAACAAGAATGAAATAAAAATATATAAACCTAAAGAAACCAAAACAAAGCGAAACTGAAAGTACCACGCGTTGATTGGGCTCACGTGACGTACCTCTCATTCGGCACAAATCCTAATGTTTCCATATTCGCAATGTATTTGAAACTATTATTTATAATGTTGAGACTTTGTACTTTACACACGTTTGTATATCGACAGAAATATCCTCTTCACATGAGCAAATATGTGCTTGGCATACAAAGTGGACCAGTTATAGGCCTACCACAGACTATTTAAATTGACCAGTGTAACCTTTTTTATTTTTGGTTGACTGTTTTGTATTTTGATAATGAACAGACTGCGATGTCAAGTTTGAGTTGCGAATATGTGGCGGCGCGATCGAACAGCTGAAACATAACATTTTTTGGTCATACAGATAAGAGTAAGATCATTCGAAAGCACAAAGTGTTTACTTTTATTTTTGCACACTCAAAATAACAACACAACATTTGTGATTTTGTAAAATAAAGCAATGATGCGCGTTTAATTGAAACTGTTACTTATTTAAGTCAGATATTTTTCGCATATTTATACCTATGCTACTATGATTGAATTTTATTTTTATGAAAACAAATTTTGTTATTTTTAATGTATCTTAGATATACATTTTCCTAAAATCATCCTGGCAACCCATTTTTGACCGGTTTTGAAGCTGTGCCCTAGTTAGGTTAATGCAGAAACATGTGAATGATGCTCTCTTATAATTGTGGCATCACCGTTTAGTGACGTCATTGAATGTTCCGGGAAAACTTAAGTTGTATTTTCAGTGTCGGTCACAGCGCCTTTTAATTGCTGTTTTGGATCTGGCAATTATTAATTTACAAATTAAGCACTGCTCTTAAGCTTACCAAGGCCGCATTTATTTGCTATAAAATACAGTAAAAACAGCAATATTGTGAAATACTATTGCAATTTAAAATAAGTGTGTTCTATTGTTATACATTTTAAAATGTAATTTATTTCTGTGATGGCAAAGCTGAATTTTCAGCAGCCATTACTGCAGTCTTCAGTGTCACATGATTCTTCAGAAATCATTTTAATATGCTGATCTGCTGCTCACAAAACATTTCTAATTATTAGTGTTAAAACAGTTGCTTAATTGTTTTGTGAAAACTTTCTTCGATTTAATAGAAATGACTAAACTCCCCCTCACCTGACTGTCCAGTCCTGGCTTGATTCTCAGCTATAGGTGATGTCTTGCACTCAGTATTGATCCCCTCAGCCAAATCATTGCTGCTGTCCACAATTTTATCCTGTTGAAGCATTTCTGTCTGTTCATCCTCCACTGTAGCACATGTTTCTGTGTCAGGAGTCTGTTCTGCTGATGTGGCGTCTGGGCTGTTCTTGGAGGTCTCTGAGGAAGCCTGAGAGTCGACAGATTCAGTCTTTTCTTTCATGTCTGAATCTCCTTGATTGCTCAAACTAGAAAGATCTGTCTCGACCTGAATGGTTGGTAAGTTTATTTGGGGTAAGGTATCAGTTGAGCTCATCTGTGGCTCGTTTTTATCTTGAGTGGTTGAAATGATTTCAGGAATACATGCGTCATTGATTTGAGATGGCTCTGTAGCATGGGATTCTTGAAAGAGTGGAGCATGCTGGGAAAAAACTGCATCAGCCTCCTCTGTCTGGATTAAAGGTGTGTCCATCTGTTCCTTCTCATTTTCATCACCTACTTCTGTCGCCTCATTCTTCTTTATTATTTCTGTGTATGATTCTTCCTTCCTGAGCACAGTCACGTTCACTGCTCTGTCTACATCCACATGTGACATTCGTTCATTGTCTTGGTTCTGTCTGTCCTGTTGGTTTTCTGTCATCCCATCTTGTTTGTTTTCACATTCATGTTCATCCATGATGTTCCCATATTGTATTTTTTCACTCTCACAGTTTTCTGTCATTTTCTGATTCTGTTCTTTTTCACCCTCATGTTCTTCCAGACTTTTCCCATCTTCACGTCTTTCCCCAATTTTACAATCTTGCTCTTTTTCACTTTCAAACACTTCCTTAATTTTCCAATCCTGTTCTTCCAACCTTCTACCATCTTGTTCTTCAACATCATCTTCTTTTTCACTCTCATGTTCTTCCTCACATTTTTCTACATTTTTTCCATCTTGCTCATTTTCTTGCCCACATACCTCCATAATTTTTTCAGTCTCAAATACTTTCCAATCCTCTTTTTCACCTTCATGTTCTTCTATGAATTCTCCATCATGTATTTTTTCAATCCCACAGTCTTCTATAATTTTCCAATCCTGTTCATTTTCGCTCTCATGTTCTGTCAGACTTTTCTCATTTTCATGATTTTCTACAATTTTCCTCTCTTGTTCTTTTTCACTCTCATGTTTTTCACATCTTTCTACAATTTTCCCATCTTGCTCATTTTCTTGCCCACATTCTTCCATAATTTTCACATATTGTATTTTTTCGGTCTCAAATCCTTCCACTACTTTCCAGCCATCTTCTTTTTCACGTTCATGTTCTTCTATGTCTCCATCTTGTATTTTTTCACTCTCACAGTCTTCTATCGTTTTCCGGTTCTGTTCTTTTTCAATCTCATGTTCTTCTTCACATTTATGTATTTCTTCAGTCTCAAATCCTTCCATGCTTGTCTCATCCTGTTCTTTTTCACTGTCAAATGCATCCACAGTTTTTCCATCTTGATTTCCTTTTTTTCCATCTTCTTCCATTATTTTTCTATCAATTTCTTTTTCCCTCTTATGTTCTTCCTCACATTTTTCTACAGTTTTCCCATCTTGCCCACATTCTTCCATAATTTTTGCATATTGTATTTGTTCACTCTTAAATTCTTCATTAATTTTCCAGTCTTGTTCTTTTTCACATTCATGTTCTTCCATGATGCCCCCATCTTGTATTTTATCAACCTCATGTTCTTTCATAATTTTACCAGCTTGTTCATTTTCATTGTCATGTTCTTCATCACATTTTTCTTTCATTTTCCTATTTTGTTCAGTTTCTTGCCCACATTTTTCCATCATTTTTGCATATCGTTTCATTTCAGTTTCAGATATTTCCATGCTTTTCTCATCTTTTTCACTGTCAAATGCATCCACAATTTTCCCATCTTGCTCATGTTTTTCCAAATCTTTCCCATCTTTTTCACTTTCTTTTTCCTCTATAATTTTCCCACTCTCAAATTCTTCCACAATCTCCCCAACTTGATCTTCTTCCCTCTCACGTTCTTCCATAATATTTCCATCTTGTTTTTCTTCACTCTCACATTCTTCCAACATTTTACCATCTTGTTCTTTTCCACTCTCATATTTCTCCATCATTTTACCATTAGATTCTTTTTCACTTTCATGATTTTCCATAGTCATCCCATCGTGTTCTTCCTGTCCCCTGTTTTTCATCTCTCCAGTTTCAGCTCTCTCTTCTCCACCTCCCTTCTCTTCTTCATGCCCCCCTCGCTCTCCATACATCTCTTCAGTTGCACCTTTCCCCTCATATTTCATCTCTTTTGCTTCATTCCCTTCATCCTCCTCCTCCTCAACCATAGATATACCCGATGCCCAAGCAGTAAAATCCCTCCCCGGTTCCAGGTCGTTCAGCGTTCGTGGAGCAACAGACAGAGCAGGAAGTGGTCTGGCGGGTGGTTCAGGTACCAAAACACATGATGGAGGAAGAAGAGGGTCTAAGGGGTCATCAAGTGTCTCAGGCTGGCCCACAGATGGTTCTGGTGAATTCTCAAAACCAGGGGGAGGTGGAGGAAACTCATCGGCTACCTCTGATTCATCTGGTTGGAGCTGTTCAGGGGTTGGTGGAGGTGGATAAAAGACCAGACTGTCTAGTATATCACTGACAGGAGTTTTGATTTCAGATTCAGTGGCTTCGGTTGTAGGTGATGGTTGAGTTTGGAGCCGTGGCTCCATCATCTTAGATTGCTGGATCTGGCTTTTGGTAGATACCATTGCACCATTCGGCAGCGAGGAAGCTGTAGTGCTAGCGAAAAGGATTGGGCTCCGGGATGTGGGAGTCGACGGAAAGTAAGGCGATACCACTGATGATCTGAATGGGGAAGTAGGTGTAGAAGAAGGTGATTCATTGAAACTGAAGATATTGTCTGTCTGACTTCGATGCAGTCGCCTATAGGGACTCCTGGCTGCAAAAAAAAAGAGAAAGAATTTTTGAAACAACTAAAATATGAAAAGTACGTTTACAAAACAAGACTACTGTCATTATAATCAACAAATCTGTCTACACGGCAAGTGGCAATAATGTGTGCGTCACATTACTGCCACTTGATGTGTAGACAGACTTGTTCAGTTGCCGAACACCCTATTTCTATTTTTGTCATGCTGAACATCTGCGCAAGCCATATCTGATATGAAAACATTTTATTAACAAATCAAATGTGTGAACTGCTTACTATGAATTTTATTTACTATATATTTTCATAACTGATAACAGATTACAATACGTTATAGTTGTTAACATAATGCATTAATCATGAACTGCTGTAAAATGAACATGAACATTTTTTACTGTACATTAGATTCCATGTTAACCTACACTACTGTTCAAAAGTCTGGGGGAGGTATGATGTATTTATTTATTTATTACATTAAAAAAAAAAAGTAGTTTATTTGTTTATATAACATCAAAAAATGTTACAATTATTCTGGACCCCACACTTTTGAACAGTAGTGCAGAAATATATAGAAACATTAACCTAGATTTATAAATGCTGTAAATGTAGCCTATTGTTCATTGTCATTTTAACTGTGGTAAATGCTAACTAATTGAAAACTTGTCATCTTTACATTAAAGCTGGTTGGGATGCCATAAAAATGCAAAAATAAATTATGTTGGATTTTAAAATAAGTTCTCAAATGTAAGACATAAAATATTTGTTTGTGAGGAGTATGCAGTAGCATAGTTGCTCTCACGGTTTCAGCTAATAGAAACACATGGCGGTTCTCTTTGTCTTATACTTTACCTGGACATGTGGAGCTGGGATGGGAGGCTATGTGGACACTTGAGGAGGACAGTTGTCTGAAAAACTCTCTGGGGTTTACAGCACGCTGAGACACAAGAGCTGCTGCCTCCTGTTGGCCATAAACAGTATTACATCACTGCATGAAAATCACAGGGCACATATTTAGGGGATGGGCTTAGTGCAGGTTTGATTGACAGAACTAACCACAGCATTTTCCTCTGATTGAGAGCATGAATATCTAGTTCTAATTTCCTCTTCTTCACGCTCCCTTTCCTCATGCTCCTGTCATATAATATAGATTAAGAATATATACATGCAAACACACATGCACACACATGGAAACAAATTTATCATACCCATTTTATTTTCTCCAGTTTCCAGGCCTCTGCCTCCATTTGGGCCTGTATTCTCCTATTAAAAAAAAAAGCTCACCTTTGACCCTTGTTTTTTATTTTCTGTTCTTTTTCATTCATTCTCCTCTCTCTCTCTGTTGCATCTCTCCTTTCCTGGAGCAAACGTTCTTTCTCTCTCTGCTTCCTGTCCTCTGCTGCCCTCCGCTGTTCCTCCTTTTTCCTTTCCTCCTCTTCTCTCTGTAAAATACAGTAAGAAACTAACCTCTGTCTGCTTTTGTATTGTTTGTGACATTTTTCCATTTTTGGAGGAAAATTTGAGTGAGTCCATGTTGCTGTGCTAAGTTCAAATTCTCAAATAATAACTCATAATAACTCAAATAATAAATCTCAGTTATCTCAGATCATTATATATTTTATGCCATGCTATGGGTTAATAAAAAATAATGAAATGTAAAAATAGTAAAAAAATAAAATAAAATTACATAAAAACTCACTCTGTACCTCTGCGTGTGCCCAAAAAGAATCTCTCTGTATTCTTTGGATCTCTGCAGCTGCGATTGTCCGCTTGTAGTTAGTGCCCTGGAAATGGTAAGGAGACAGTTTGATTTGTTTACCATTTTCCTGATTTTAATTGCCTGACTGGTTATACTTTTCAAAACAACATTATCATTTAGGATTAATAAAGCCTGCCCCCTTGTTGTAAGAAACTGTCATGATCTCATACCACAATGGCCTGTCTGTCTTCTGTCCGGTGGCTGGGTCTCCCTCTCGGTCCCTGCGTCACCACTGCAGCATTATAGGCCAGTGTACAGATCCTCTCCTCTGTGATTTCATCCAAAGTGTGGGCAGGAAGAAAGATGTGAACTTCCTGAAGCATCAGAAAGACAAAGAGAGCGATAGGGAAAAGATGTTTTCATAGTTTTTATGCATTTATCTTTTGTTTTTTATTTAAAACTGACAAGACATGCAGTCCAAACAAGACTTCTAAAAGAAGAAACTGAATTAAAAACAAATCTAATTTAAGATCTCTACATGCTCGCATGTTTACAAAACAAGTTTATTATGTTACCTAACCCTGTTGAAAAAACCAGCATATACTGGTTAGGTATGTTTTGACGCTGGGATGCTGGTTTCGTTTTTTTCAACAGGGAAATCGATTTACCTCTATATACACGAGTAAAGCAAAATGTAAGGCTTTGATTTTTTTCAGTATACTAAATTAAATACAATATTGTTTTATAATCCCTGTACTCTTTTACCTTAAAGAAGGCTCTGATTGCTGGTAAATGACTGGCACACTCAGCTTTGCGGTACCCATCCACTTCATTTCCTACCTGAGAGACCACAAACACTGGTTAAAGGGAAATAATCAGTGTTTTACATTAAACTGTGTGGAGGATGAACTAACCCATAATATCATAGCGATGCGAGGTTGAGCTTTGCCCACCCTGCACATCCCATAAAGTGGCCATTTAGGGTGAAGCTTAGCTGTCAACTCTTTCAATCCACCTGCTATAAAAGAACGAGCATATAAACAAGTCCACAAACAAAAAACAAAACATTATTTATGCATCTTTTTTGTGCTCTTACCTCCAGAATCAGCCAGTTTGAGCATGTTCATTATTCCATCATAGGTGAATAAAGCCCTGCACACAGAGACAGAAGAAAATGGCCACAGGGAATATTAAAGGTTCACTTTATTTCATTAAGATGGATAACTCAATTTAGAGAGAACGATAAATGTATTATAAGTGCAGGCAAGCTCTCTGATATTTTAGTAACAGACATATGAATGCTTCCGTACTGATGTTTGAGGTTTGGTTATTAACTGTATGTATGTATGATTAATTGATAGATTTCTTTTAGCGTTTAATGCATTTGAAATGAAAGTCAGTATATTAAATGTATATATATATATATATAGACATTTTGTATGTTTATATTTGTATCTATCCACACACATATAATATTGTGTAATATATATATATACACAAGTTGGGAAAGGCCTAAGGTAGGAAAATACGATGTATTGAAAGTTCAGTACAGTAAATTAAACAGGAAAAAAAAAAAAACATTTTCAGCCACAAATGGCACCATTTCCTGTGAATGACGCCCATATAAAGGACCCTTCCCCTAGGGTCTTCTGTAATGTGCTCACACCCAAAAACAAAGGGGGAGTTTTCCCACATTCTCATGACAACAATGTCAGAAGTTACAACTGCAACAGTAGATACAGTAGCATGACATTTAACTAGTACAAACCTGTGCACTCAGGTTCATACAAACAAAAATAGATGAATTTGGTTATTTGGACACTGGAGCCATTATATCTGTCATTCTTGAAAATCACTATGCTAAGCATGTCTTAGCCGTTCTCAAAAGCCTAGAAGGATAACTGCATAGACTGTTAATCCAAACATTTTTCAACTTCTAGGCAAATAGTTTGAGCTATATTAAAAGAAGCGGCTTACGCAAATGTCTTGAGCTTAACGCCTTGACTGCATACACTGTCAAGCATGTTACATCTACTGTAACTTACACAAGACACAAGCTGCTTGGGTGCTATTATGTTATGTTGTTATTATGAAGTGATGCATGTGATGTTTTTGTAAGTTTACTTAATAATGCAAGCCACTACAGACATCAGTGTTTTTCATACACTGGTCAATTTTGAGATTTTTGGCTATTTTGCTTACATAACATGTCTTTTTTAGTGGAAAGAAAAGATACGAAATACATTTAAGTGTTTATTATTACACTTTATCCATCTGAAGATTTTTTGAAAAATGCACCGAGCCAGAAATCTCCACTTCAGTAGCACTTACATATACCAGACTTTACAGTTTTATTTTATTTGTCTATATTTTGAGGGTTTTTGTCAGAGGGGTTTGTTCATATATTGTTCGACCTGAATTTTAAAACATTTTATTCCTAAAACCTTTTTTTTTTCCCCCTGGTTGTTGACAGTATTTTCTGATTTATGGAGTGATAAAAAGAGATATCTAAATCCTCAGATATCTAAATCCTCTAACAAGAAATGTAACAAGAATTTTGACATTGGCTTTATCCAATGTTCAGATTTCTGTTCTGGAAATGTATGCTAATTAGATTTGAATATTCAAACACAGGATATCAGAAAATTATTGTTTTGTACTATAATAATCTGGGGAAAGTACAGTGATATTTATTAGTTAACATTTTTACCCTATTGTGTCTTAAATGTACTGTACTGTCGAACATAAAACAGTATTCTTTATACTTTATTATAGATACACATACTATATTCTGTTAAAAAAAAAACTGAGGAAATGACAGAGACAGGAAGGCTATGAAGATGCAGAGTCCTGCTTTTTCAGACTTCCGTGTTTAGACAAGGACCTTCGTAAGGCTTCTGGCACATTCTATCTGCGTTTAATATGTGCTTGAATCCATTATTAAAATTAAATGTGCATATCTGATAACCCGAAGTGGATAAATCTAAATAATGAAATACAGATCTGAACTACACATGATCAAATTAGGACATGGTTTGAATAATTTAATGAGGCCTTGGTTTTAAAACAGCTTAGAGTTTAACATCAAATCAAATCAAATGCTGTATGTCAGGAAAGAAATCCAAAAGGTTTCTGTTACCAGGAAACACACTGATTGAATGCAGTTCAGAATTATACAGACTTTTTTTTTTTAGCTCATAAACAACCAACATTCTTTCTTTTGAAAAGTACTTCCAGCAGTGACATTCTCCCTTTTAAAACGTTTCCTGTGACAACAGTAGCCAGAACAACAGGAACTGCTCAGCCTGTGGATATGTCTGCATTTTAGCCCCCAGCATGGTCAAAAACAATCACTGACACACTGATGTCTTAAGTACCATGTTCAACAGATGCTTGACCCACACACACCTCCTTGCTTTAGCTTTATCATCTCAGACTGTAGGATAGTTTGTCATAGTGGTGATTTTGCAGATAAACATGCTAATTAAGATAAGCAGGGGTATTTACAGAGGAAATTAGACTGGGAGGGGGTTGTTTGGTCATTAAGATAAGACAGACATTCTGAAATGTAATTTATCAGATCAAGACACCACAGCAATGAGGTCTACTTTATACTGGACTAGCTAGTTTGGATGAAATGGCAAAAAAAACAACAACGAAGTAACATTTTTTGTGTGTGGAATGCCACCTAATTCTTTTAAATACGAGTTTTTTTGTCCTATTAATTTGAACGGGGCCGTTGACGAACACTGAATATCTCCCTAACAATCACACATGCAGTATGAGCAAACCCATCTGTGTAGTGGAATAGCTGCACATTATTTTCTTTCCACGGAAGTTCAACATGAGCATAGTGTTTTATGTGGTTGTTGGCGTTTATGAATAATTAAAAGCTTAAAATAGTAAGATAAGAGCAATGGAAAGTTGTCTTTTGTTCAAGAACGGAAATTTCGTTGATGCAAGCCCGCCTAGCACTGTGGCGCAGCGGAAGCGTGCTGGGCCAGTAACCCAGAGGTCGATGGGTCGAAACCATCCTCTACTAACAAATTTTCGATATTATGCATAGGTTATATCATATTTTGATGCATTATAGATGCATTATAATTATTATTGTTTAAACACATTTGCTATTTCATTAAAAGGTATTATTTGGTCAGACACATTTCTTGGTAAAAATAAAAATAAATAAATAAAAACAAGCAAAAAACAACATTTTACATTTAAAAGAGATTCACGTAGGCTATCCTGTTCACCATTTTATTTTACTGTAAGAATCTTGTCTATCTGAATTATATTTTCTATTAATTACAGGATTTAAAAAATAAGCAAATAAACAAAAACCGTCATCATACCAGTTTGTTGACGAGCGTGGATTCAGGATGTCTTCTTTTGCCGTAAGTAAAGACAGACTGTATGTATCCAGATCAACTTCCCTCATTGATTTCATGATGATGTTAGTGTATTAAATCCAATCCTTAAATGCAGAATAAATGTGAATAAAATAACCTGTAGTCATACAGCAGATCTCGTTATGGCAGCAGCTATATGTCCTCCTGAAAGATTAAAATAGCCAGCTTTTGTCAATTGTATGCAAACTCTTGGGAAGCTTAGAAAAAACCATAAGCCACTCCTGCTCGGAATAAATAGCGGTTTGCATTGTTTCAAAGGTTAGCCACTGACAAATCCCACCCATTTAATTCATATTAATAGAACAATTTTGAGTTAATGCTTCATTTTGAATGAACAATAAAAAACAAAAATAACCTACACTGTTGGCTTTCTGAGACATTTTTAATGTAATGTTTACCGTAAAGTAAGCCTTTACGGTCATTTAATCAATGATTTAAGTGTGTAATGTAAGTTATATCACATGTGTTTATGCTTATAAACATATTTGTTATTAAAATATATCAGATTACTGTGAGTTAGGAAAGATCCATGGCGATATATGGAAGAAGTATTTTTTTATTCTCAAAAATATATATATATTTTATTTTTGCATTATTTTGATGCATATACAAATGCAATCTCAGATAAATAAATAACAAATAAATAATATTTTTATATAGAAGTGCATACTTAAAAGCTACAACTCTCAGCCAATAGCAGCGCGTTTCGTGTGTGACGTCAATTCCATGCGCCGCGGCTGCACACAAGACACCGGCTTCGTGCGATTCTTCTGTCGAGTGAAAATATGTCTACTGTTCGAGAAGTTGATGAATAAGCGGATAAATTTTACTCTTGTCTTTACAATATTTAGCGTAATATTAGGTTTGCGCTGTTGTAGTATTAGTTTTGTGATCCACGTGGCCACATTGATGATATTTCGTGTGTACTGTAGTTAATGACAGTGGTTTTCAAAACCCAGCCGTTTAAGTTTGTGTAGGATCTCCACGTCCAGACCAGAATGAAGTGCCACTATGAGGTGCTGGGCGTTAAAAGAGACGCGTCGGACGACGACCTGAAAAAGGCTTATAGGAAATTAGCCTTGAAATGGCACCCAGGTATTTGGTTTCATCTTATCTGCTTGATAAGTAATAAAGGTTACCATATTGATAAATAAGGCTGTTGGTGTCGCCTGTTCTCTAACAATTGAATGATCTGTCAAGTGCTGTTGATTATAGGACTTACATTAGTTTAACCTTGAAATTATGTTGTAATGTTGTTCATATTGTTATTGTGATTCTAGACAAGAACTTGGATAACGCAGAGGAGGCTGCAGAGGAGTTCAAACTTATCCAGGCTGCGTATGATGTTCTGAGTGATCCGCAGGAGAGAGCCTGGTAAGACCTCCAAACAACAACTACGTTCACCACACATGCAATACATCTAGCTTAGTTCAAAACTAATGACATTTTACTTGAGGCTTTATTTATGTTACCTACCCTGTGTAAACAATCCTTTAAAAAGGATACTTTCTTTCCAAAAATGAATATTCTGTCTTTTATTCACTGCTGTGATGTGGCAAATCTATATGGCTTTATTTTCTTCCACAACATGTGTATTGATTGCAAAATGTCTAAACCACTGCTTTTCATATAAAAGTGGATAGTGATTTTTCCCGGCAAGCTCTAAATAGAAGACACGAACATAAATTTAAGTTGTTATTCAGTGTTCTCAAATCTCATTCACACTTGCATATATTCAAATAACCATTGTAGTAGCAAATAAGGCTCCAGAGTTATCCAAAATACAAATCGTCTTTACAGTGATTATAGTGACTGGAACAGAGAAATTAAATAACAGAATAAAATATCTGTTGCACTGTATGTGTGTGTATATATATATATATATACTGTATATATATATATATATATATATATATATATATCATCCTCAAAGAGAATCCTCCTTTATCTTTGTGTTTCAAGCATCTCAAATCCTAGTTTTGATATATATTTTTTTCTTGATAGTATTTCATACAAAAAAAGTCACTTTTTAGTCTATTTGAGATTCTCTTAAAGTGATGCTGTGACCAATTCTGACTCTTTGACAAGAAATTGTCAACTGTCTGCTTTCTAAGCATTCAAAAAAGAAAGCTCTTGAAAGACCAAAGCATTCAAGATCTACAGTCATTTCATTTTGGCATATAATTTTTTGGTTTATGGGGTGCTGGTTAAAGGAGTAGTTCAACACTTTTTCTCACCCTTATGACATTCTAAACCGATATGCAGTTAGTTTTCCATTCAACAGAAAAAGGTGAATTTTGCTATTTTCCATATGGTGTTATGGACTACTTCTGTGGTGTTTTTTGGAGCGTGACAGAAGTGGCCACTGCTGTTGTACAAAAGAGCTTCAAAATTCTCCTTTTGTGTTCAGTGGAAAAACAGCATATGGGCTTGGAATGACAGACGTATTGAATGTTGTTGTTGCAAATTCTGCTGATCTACGTGTTCTAGCTGTGTAACAAAAATGAGGATTTGTCAAAACTGTGAACTTGTATTAGTATAGGATGCATCAGGAATGGGCTGAAAATTGCAAACAAATCAGTAATACTAATATTACTAATATTTTATTAATATAAATTTCAAAATGTATACTTTGCAGTAGTGCTGGTCGGTAACTGAAATCTCATCCACAGTTTTATACTGCTCATTCATATTTGTATTATACTGAATGTTCAAGGCCTTTTGCATGTCCAGAAATGGCTTGAATGTAGTGCTGGTCGGTATACCGGTTCATACCGAATACCGGTTTTTATTTTTGTTATGATATGAATTTTGAAAAGACCGCAATACCGGTATATGTCACTTAAACAATGTTCGGAACGCAACACTGTTTGAAAGGGGCGTTGCACTGTGGTGAGGGAACAAAACAGCGTTTCCTAGCACCTGTCGCTTACTGATTGTTTGGAATTATAAATATGAGCGTAGTTCGTCTGTTAATATCACATGCACTTTTTTTGTTTGTTGTTTTTTTTTGTTACTCAGACGCAGGCAGTGCGCTGCATGAGCAAAAAAAGTAATATAGCCAAAACAACCGCATAGCCGCTCTTTAGTGTAGATGCATATTGATTTTATCAGACGATGCCGCGATTATAAATGAGTGACACCTGGTTAACATGTATTAAAAGGGGTCGTGTTTTGTCACTATTTAGTATGGTATTTTTTGACAATATTCACTCATCATGACCGTAAAATAGGGCATTCTAAGTCAATATACTGCAGTATTTCCTCTCTCAATCAGTAGAAAATATGGTTAACACTCGGTCATGCATGAAAAAAAAAATACCGTCTTGTACCGTGAAACCGGTATAATTTGGAAAAATACCGTGATATAAATTTTTGGTCATACCGCCCAGCACTACTTTGCAGCTTATGTCATCGCTTTCCAGTGAATTTATAGCCATTTTTTCCTTTATAAATTCCAATAATTAATAATTAATTCTGTAATTATTTGTTGTAACTTATGAAAAAATGACTGTTGTTTTCTGCCACACATAGCACACACACACACAAAAATGGGTTTTTTGGGGGGGGGGGGGGGTTAATTTTCTCCATAGTATGTGGGACTAAATACCAGTAATATTAATCAGTATTTGGCCTTTAGTATACTAAAATGTATATTACAGCCTTCAGTATTTTCCCATTAATATTTAATTCTGTTAATATGGCTGTTACTTTTGTTTTAAGGTATGATAACCACCGAGAGGCTCTGTTGAAAGGGGGTGTCAGCGGAGAGTACCAGGATGACAGCATTGATCTCTTGCAGTTCTTCACTGTCACCTGCTACTCAGGTTACGGAGATGATGAAAAGGTGAATATTTAAAATTTATTTTTTGTCAGCCTGTAACCAAACATACTTGTGTCTGTTCATACAGGACAAGTTCTTGTGTTTCATCTGCATTCATTTTTAATTGTGTGAAACATGTCAGACAGATGTTTTTTTTTTTTTTTACCATAGCATTGTATCTATATGCTCAGCAAAAAAGTGCATATAGAGACTATTGCGTTCTGTATGTAGCTGAAATTGAACTAAATGAGAGCTTTATTAATTTTTTTATATATTTTATTTCATATTCTATTACATATATTGTTGATTTATTTTTGTTGATTTATTATGTCTTGTATTATCTGACATATAATTGGTATTTATCTGTTTATAATGTATAGCTCATATGTCTGCTATACCATCCTGTACCGCTGGAGGGCAGTAAAAGTTCATGTTGAAAATGCAAAGTTATGCTTTCAGTTTGGAATGATTAAGATTATTTATTGTGGAAATGCATGTATTCTGTGTTTTAACAGTGCAAACTCTTTTGTCTCTGTAGGGCTTTTACACCATATACAGGAATGTGTTTGAGACTATCGCAAAGGAGGAGATGGAGCACAGTAAAGATGAGGAGCAGTTTCCCTCATTTGGAGACTCTCAGAGTGACTATGACACTGTATGTAGACACTGGTACATGCAGTTTTCCACAGAAATATTAAGCACAACTGTTGTGAATCTTGATTTAAAAAAGAGCCTGTGACTGACTGGAGTAATGGCTGCTGAAAATTCAGCTTTGCCTTCACAGGGATAAATTACATTTTAAAATAAATTCAAATAGAGAACAGCTATTTTAAATTGTAATAAGAATTCACAACATTACTCTTTTACTGTAATTTGGATCAAATAGATTCAGCTTTGGTCAGAATTTAGAGACCTCTTTCGAAAATATAAAAAAAAATCTTACCGACCCCCAAACTTTTGAAAAGCAGTAGTGTATGTGACTGACTCTTTTGATCCGGTTCTTTTTAATAAACCAGAATCACTAAATTCCTTAGAAAATGAAAAAAAATCTCGAGTCAGAACTAATGTATGGACTGTGAGAGTCGGTTGATGATCCAAAAAAAATCAGTGTTATAATCTTTTAATTATATTTTATCTTTTATATTATAATCTTAAAATCAGTTATACATTTGTTACAATTTTTGAGATAGTAGGGTACACACTTTGTTTGTTAGAGAGATATGTATAGATTGTAACATGAAGATGAAATACTTGAGTGCTAAAACATGGCATCAGAGTTTGTCAAGGGGTCTAGTGCATTTTAGACCTTACAGCCAAATGAGACTGTGGATT